TTATGAAAATTTAATCTTTGCAGAATATGAGTAAACATTTGAGCATATGTGTGTACCAAGCGCGCGTTTACTCATGATTCACAAGGATGTGCTTATCATTGTCCCTTTATTCCAAATTTGATTAATATATTTTAGATTGAAAGACCAATAGTCATTTTGAATAAGGTATGCACTGAGCGCTCGACTATTAATGGGTATAAAGAGATGTGCATCAGTTGGCTGGGATTTTCGACAAGGACTAAAATCCAAACAAAAGAAAAGGATAAAAAAGGTTCTTTATAAAAAGAATATTTATGTGATTTGAATACTGATGTGGTCGACCTAGGACCCAGTGGATTCTATAAGTATTCGACTACTGATGCAATCGACCTAGAGAGATTCTACAAATAAATGATTGAGCCTAAAAACAGAAGCAGTCGACCAGGGAAGACCTCATAAGTCATTAGGCCTAGAAAATTCAAAAGGCCCAAAAATCCATCAAGAAAGCGAAGCATTTTGGAGGGAAACAGGGCGAACGTGGGTTCGAGAGTATGAATGGAGAACGTGAGATCATATAGAGGAGTTATAAGATACATGTGGCGTACAAAGAGGCGAAGGTCGATAGAAAGTAGTTATTTTTATGTATTATAAATAAATCACTTAGTGTATAGTGTTAGAGGTTCAAACTTTTACATTCCTATATGCTATTCACTCAGAGTACCCAAACGAACAAGCGAAATGAGTCAAGCTAGGGTAATGTATGTTTGAATCAACTTATTTTTTAGCTATTTTGATATTATGTCATTTATGTTTACAGTTTAAAACCCTTTCCGTTTTATTTTACGAGTCTTAATTTATTGCTTATCAACTTGTTTGGCACCAGTCGAACAAATCCTTTTTTGAACACACTTTGTGAAAACACTCGAAAACTGAAGCATTGTACTGAGATTCCCTGGTCGATCTCGCTAGTAAACTTTTGTTAAGAGACCAACGTTTTTTACCAAAACCAGAGGTAAACATCATCTCTTGGTCTTTTTTATTTCAATTTTATTGAGAAAATATGTTTGCGCGTATAACGGCTTGATGTTAAATCAAGCGTTTCAAATTGATTAGGAAAAAAGTTTGAATTTGTCGTGAAATGATTAAATGAAAGGTATCGCAAGAGTATCGAAAATGATGCATGCAATGAGTTAACTTGAAAGCATATATCGTGACATAATGCAATGTCACATTATAGAGAAATAAGAGTTAGGAGAAGTAATGCGCATACGATAATTACAAACAACATGCTCAATGCAATCGAATTGAAAAGCAAACAATACACATCATTAAATATCGCATCGCAACGAACAATAACGTTACATGACAAAACAAAGTAGTGAAAACAAATGTGTATTGACATCATGCTAAACTACCGATTCTACAAACATCTAAGTTAACATGACGACAATGAGATGAAGTGTCGCACACTAACAAAAATATGGCAAGTCGCTAACGTAAAGGCACTCACCGTAAATAAGTCGATATAATGAACAAAGCATTAAGCAACACATCACATCATAACGAGAGAATAACATTACACATCAACAAGTAAAGAGACTATGTCGTATACAGGTTTGAATTAGCGTAATGACAACAAGTTGAAAGGTCGCACACTAACCAAAAATCAAGCATGTTGCTAACGCGAAGCTCTCATCGCAATGGAAACAAAAAGTACAAAAAATATGCAATGCAATACAAATAGAATAATCACAACATAATAAAAATATTTACAACACTCTTCCTTTGATGCAAGATTGAAAACAGACACATGCACCTGATGTAATATATGCGTTCAAGAGAGAAACTGAATTCTTACTCCTAAAATTTTGACGTAATAAAAAATGAATACAACAATATTCTACAAAATGAATACCACGCGATTACAAAATGTTCCAGCATGGTCCACACATATGCGTTCATATTATTACAACAACATTGTAAAATCAAAAGTAGAAGAAAAATCCAGCAACAACATAGCAAAAATTTACAAGCGCAACCGACATTGGAAATAACTACATCACAAGCAGTAAACACAAACGACAATATAATGTCGAACCGAAACTGGTACCAAACTCCCCATCGTGATAAAGTTATCCAATTGCGAGATGTTGTGGATGTTGATATTGTTGTTTGTTTGGTGGAGAAGCAACCAAAGAAAAACCAAAAACTAATCCAAACGTGCAGAACTAATTATCTTGTTGAACCAAAACTGAACTCCACTTTTGGACCTATAAAAACAAGATGACCAGTTGACAAAAACCAGATGCTCCTAACTTGTGTTATTGTTGGAATAAATAAATCAGGAGGAGAGTGAGGTGTTGGATGGTGAGAAGATCGGACAACCAATGTGTAAGCTTTGCAAATGTTAGGAAGTTGATTCATCACATTACTATAAACAACACGTTTCACCTTGGATACGAAATGCATTTAACATCGACTACATAAGCGAGGCAACGAAAGAAATCATAAAAAGTATCAACTTTAACCCTCAGTTTTTAATACACCAAGGAGAAAGTGCTTATGAACATGACTTCGAACCTCAGCTTCGACACTTTTAATATTTTCAAAACTAGCACATGATACAACCGAGAGGTAAAATTGATAAATTTTTTAAACTAGTTACAAACTACATAATATTAATAAATTAATTTTTTATCCATAACATTATGTTGTTTACATAGAATATTTATGTAAATATATATAAAAAATTTTGAATATGATTCATCGTCATCACTGCTAGTGAAGATCAGATGTTGGAACGTTGTTTCATTAAAATGTCGGGGAAGAGAGAATGTTGGGTGCAATATATTTGAGATGCCTTTTGCATTTATTTGTTTTTGAGTGAAACAAGAAAAATGTTAGATAAATGAATGTAATTATGTTTATTGAAGAACACCATAAAAAAATTATTATTTAAGAACATAAACCTTAAATTCAATTTAGTTTCTGCTCTTGCAATCTTTCGTAGAGAACTTTACCAAGTGTTTTACGCTTCAAATTTTTCATCGTAGAGAATTTGATATTCATAATGCTTTTATAGTGGATGTTTGTTAGGTTTCACGCGGATCACTAATTGAAGTGTCTTGAGCGTTGATACTCATGAAATAGACGACACAAATTTGTTTAAGGACGACGATCAATATCCTCCATTATCACTCTAAAATTATACCCTCAGTTTTTGACAAAAACCAAGGTCCGTGAATAAACTTTTTTTAACATTATATTGTTTACGTACACAAAATATTAAATTACATTATTACCACAAATGCAGTGTTATCACAGTAGCTGCTAACACATCTTTGTTGTAATCTAGATTTTGTTGGATACATTTTGTGCTCATTATTTTAAAGTTCAATGAATTGCATGCAATCAACTTCTAAAGAGTTATCTTTTCCAACTAAGGAGTTATCAGTTTCAAACATTATAAATATTTTTTCTGCACTTGCAATTCATCGTAGAGAACTTTTTCAAGCTTCAATAAGTTCCAAAATTTCATTATCTTGAGCAAATGTTTTCATGAAAAATACTTTCATAAGAAAGATATATAGTGAGAGATGTAGATAGTTTGTTGTGGATTAATGTCTTAGCAATGCCTTGAGCGTTGTTCCTTTAAGAATATAAGGTAGAGATTTGTTGTTGTAGCTTTGTAACATATTCTCTCGGTTTTAAAAAAAAACGAGGGGAAACACATTTTCTTTTTTAAATAGAAAAATAAAATAAAATATGTAAATTCTTCGATTTTAGAAAAAAATCGAGGTAATAAGTTCCAAGAAAATATAGTAAATAATAAAAAATTAAAAATAACATGTCATGTTTTCATTTTAATTTTTTTTTCCAGTCAACACTTTTTGTGTGTAATTTATAACATGTTTAGGAATAAATTTCTCAATATTGTCAGCCAAAGAAAACAATGTTGTTTTGTTTGATTGACAACAAAGAAAAGTTATTTAAAAAATACTACAACAACAACATCAACCACATTATGTGAGATAGATTGCAAGAGAAGAAAAAATATTTGTTCAAGATTGAAAACATTGAAGATTTTTTTGTCTTGCAATCAATCTCACAAGAATGATGCATACAAGTTTAGAGAGTCTACATATAAGTTAGATTTATGATAAAATTTGTTTAACGAGTGATTTTATAATATTATATGATTATTTTATCCTTCGATTATTAAGGAAATCGAGTGGATATATCATTTAGTTTACACTTATAACAAAATAAAAACATAAATTGTAATAGCTAGGATTCAATATGTGTTTCGAATTGTGTTTTTTCCTCTAATATTATTAAAAATCGAAAAAATATGTTGTTTTTATTTTGCACGGATAGCTGGTACTTAGTGTTATTCACGGATTAGAAAAAAATTGTCCAATTCTTTCTCCAACATTTTTAACTTTGGGTACGCAGAAGAAATTGAGAAATCACCTTGTTTTAAATTGAAATTTTTTTCTTGGATGTCTTAGTTTTTCTAACTGTTTTACAAATTGGTTAAGGTTTGGCAATCCCCTGACTAACTAACTTGCCTTCTTCTAATCACATTTAACACAAATAATCTATCATTAAAAAATTAAATATAACATTTATTCCTCACAAATCCTCATTAGACAAAGTGTTTATTTGGTTTTACATTTTGAAGTAGATAAAACTGATTCCTCTACGATATAATCAAGAGTTTACTAAGTAATAATATCATAAAATAATCATTACACCTAAGGGTGTTTTTCCCCAACTTTGTTCAACTCTTCCAATCTGCAATAAGACAAACCCTATGTCTCCCATAAACGACAACAACAATAAACAAAATAGTATTGTGACATCCTCAAAAATGACAGCTAAGAAGTTTATGTAACACAGTTTCTATCATTATTCAACATCGGTTTCTCACTTCATTATAAAATGTAATTCCAACAAGAAACAAAACCCTTCCAAATCTCATACCAATCTCTTCATTACTATCATTCTTTCTTGTTGCCATGGACATGCCTATGCCTCCAGGTCAAAACATGCCTCCCTCAAATGGCACAACCAACATGATGATGATGAACATGCAAATGAGTTTCTACTGGGGCAGAAAAGCCACAGTGCTTTTCTCTGGATGGCCTAATAACAACCTTGGAATGTACATCTTAGCTCTTTTGTTTGTGTTTTTCCTAGCTATGGCTGCTGAGGTTTTGTCCAACCAACCTCCCATCAAACGTGGGACTAATCCTCTCATGGGAGGGTTGATTCAGTCTTGTGTTCATTTCTTTCGAATCGTTTTCATTTACTTGCTCATGCTTGCTGTCATGTCCTTCAACGTTGGAATCTTCATTGCTGCTGTTGTTGGTCATACGTTGGGATTCTTCATCGCGCGGTCGCGTGCTATTGCTGTTGCTAATGGAGAAGATCAACGTTTGTCATCTGTTACACTTAAAATTTGAATTATTATCCACTACTTCATCGCGTCTTTCATCCGTTCTTCATCGCGTTTAAAAATGAGTGAAAAATCAAATCAAGTATATTTAAAATTGGGGGAGTACATGTTTTTATGTTGCATGGTTTTCTCAAAGCTTTTCACTTATGTATTATAGATTGGTGAGTACTTGATGCTTATGTTTGCTAATTAGGCTCTCTTTAGCATGCTGTGTAAAAAATTTCTACCTTGTTTATGTAAAGATTAGACATGCCAATAAGTGCCCGAGCAAGAGGTGAAATGAACTAAATGCCTAGCTGGTTTCTCTGCAGTCATGTGTGTCTCTCTAGTAAACTTATCTTGTTGTTAGATTTAATCTAATATTTGATAAGTCCACAATTTAAATGTTAAATTAATTTATTGATTGAGATATGTATTGGGAGTAAGTGGATCTTTGTTATGTTGGGGAGGCACCATGTTGCCTCCGAATGTTAGGGAGGTACTATGTTGATAATTTAATATCTCTTAAAATCTAAGTGAGAAAAAGAGAAAGAAATGAGATATATTTTAGTAATGATAGTTTTAAATTTATTTGTTAATTAGATTAAGACCGCGCGATGCGCAGTTATAAATTATTATATTTATTTTTTATTAAATTTTAGATGTATTAAAAATTATTTTGAAAATATATGATTATTAAATTTATATTATAAAAATTTATTGTGAAATATAATTGAGACAATGCTATGAATTAATCGTATATAAAAAGATAAATTTTATTTAAAAGAAAATGTATGTTTGTAAATTGATAATGATAATCATAATTACTTTTGTATATTTAAATAAATATAAAATGATTTTTATTTTGTTTGACTCTCATGTCTTTTAGTAGTTATCTTTGATTTATTAATTTAATTTTAAGTTGTTAAAGATGTGTATTTATTCTTAATGTAAAATAAAATTAAAAGATTTTTTGTATTATTATCGAGTAAAACTTTATTAGGTTAATAATGTTTATATTTTTTTTTCTCAAATTGTAGTTATTTAATGAATAAAGAGTTGAAAATTTTGATATTTTAATTTTAAGTTGTTAAAGTTCTGAATTTATAAAATTAAAATTTTACTTTTAATTATTATTAAATAAAACTTTATTAATTATATAAAATTTATATCTCTTTTTGTCAAATTTTAGTCATCTAATGAATAAAGAGTTGAAAATTAGCTGTTATAGCAACTTATTATTATTTTTATATAACAATTTTAAATTTATTAATGGGTTTGTAAACATTAATCTGATTTTATTGTTGATATATTTTAAAATATGAGTGTTCTTTATATATATATATATATATATATATATATATATATATATATATATATATATATATATATATATATATATATATATATATATATATATATATATATATATATATATATATATATATATATATATATATATATATATATATATATATATATATATATATATATATATATATATATATATATATATATATATATATATATATATATATATATATATATATATATATATATATATATATATATATATATATATATATATATATATATATATATATATATATATATATATATATATATATATATATATATATATATATATATATATATATATATATATATATATATATATATATATATATATATATATATATATATATATATATATATATATATATATATATATATATATATATATATATATATATATATATATATATATTATTTTCAGTATTTTTATTATTTTATCTATGATCACTATTATAAATTAAAAAGAGTAAAATACAGTTGACTTTGGTGATATATATTTATTAAAATAATATATTTTTTTAAGTTAGTTGGTAATTGATAGATTAATATATATTTGATTATAACTATTTTGAGATTAAAAATATTTATTTTAGGTATTCATTTTTTTTAATGATTTTAAAGTAAACATAATTTTAATTTTAGTGAGACTTTTAGATTCACAAGTGTATTTTAAAATTTGAATTTAGAAAAATATAGATAGTTGAAATAGTAATTGTCTTGTTAGATTATTTTAGTAAAAAAATGAGATTTTTTTTTGTGTCTTTTTTAAGGTTCGAATCCGTAATCTTCAATAAAGAAAATATTATATTTGTCTATTTGAGAAGTAAAAGTAAAATTTTGGAGGTGCCAATATAACTATGGAATGATGTGGTACAAAAGGAATAGAATTTTTTTAACATGTGTTGTGATATAATTCACTGTTTTAGATTTAATAGATTATATAGATATAGATTTAGACAATGATATGAATTAATCACATATAAAAAGATAAATTTTATTTAAAATAAAATACATGCTTGTTTTTAGTGTGTTGTTTTGATTTAAGGGCTGAATTGTAGGATACCGCCTTCTGTGAATTGTTTTTGAATTAATATATCATTTGGTTCATAAAAAAGAATAATACATATTTATAAATTGATAATGATATTCGTAATTAATTTTGCAAATTTAAATAACAATAATTTTTTTTTATTATCATGTCTTTTAATTAGTTATCTTTGATTTAAATATTTAATTTTAAGTTGTTAAAGTTGTGAATTTATAAAATAAAAGATACATTTTATTTGAAAATAAAATATATGTTTGTAAATTGAGAATCATATTCATAATTAGTTTTATAAATTTAAATAACTATAAAATAATTTTTGTTTTAATTTGATTATTATGTATTTTTATTAGTTATCTTTGATTTAGATATTTAATTTTAAGTTTTTAAAGTTGTGAATTTATAAAATTAAAATTTTACTTTTAATTATTATCAAATAAAATTTTATTAGCTTTATAAAATTTATATTTATTTTTTTCAAATTTTAGTCATCTAATTAATAAAGAGTTGAGAATGTTAGTTGTTATAGCAACTGAATCATTATTTTTATATAATTATTTTAAATTTATTAATGAATTTGTAAACATTGATATGATTTTATTGTTGATATAAATTAAAATATGAGTGTTCTTTTTATATATATTATTTTCAATATTTTTATTATTCTATCCATAATCACTATTATAAACGAAAAAGTAGTAAATTCAGTTGACTTTGGTGATATATATTTATTAAAATAATATATTTATATAAGTTAGTTGATAATTGATAGATTAATATATTTTTGATTATAACTATTTTGTGATTAAAAATATTTATTTCAGGTATTCATTTTTTTCAATGATTTTAAAGAAAACATAATTCTAAATTTAGTGAGAACTTTAGATTCACATGTGTATTTTAAAATTTGAATTTAGAAAAATATAGATAATTGAAATAGTAATTGTATTGTTAAATCATTTTAGTAAAAAAATGAGATTTTTTTTGTACTTTTTAAGGTTCGAACATGTGACCTTCAATAGTGATAATATTGTATTTGTCTATTTGATAAGTGAAAATAAAATTTTAGAGGTGCCACGTATGACTATGGAATAATGTGGAACAAACTAAATAGAATTTTGTTAACATGTGTTGTGATATAATCCACCCTGCTTCAAATTTAATAGATTATATAGATATAGATTTAGACAATGATATGAATTAATCACGTATAAAAAGATACATTTTATTTGAAAATAAAATACATGCTTGTTTTTAGTGTGTTGATTTTTTGGTTGTTTTGATTTAGGGGCTCGATCGTGGGAGATCGCCTTCTGTGAATTATTTTTGAATTAATATATTATTTGGTTCATAAAAAGAATAATACATGCTTGTAAATTGATAATGATATTCATAATTAATTTTGAAAATTTAAATAACAATAGTTTTTTTTATTATCATGTCTTTTAATTAGTTATCTTTGATTTAGATATTTAATTTTAAGTTGTTAAAGTTGTGAATTTATAAAATGAAAGATACATTTTATTTGAAAATAAAATACATGCTTATAAATTGAGAATCATATTCGTAATTAGTTTTACAAATTTAAATAGCTATAAAATGATTTTTGTTTTGTTTTGATTATCATGTCTTTTTATTAGTTATCTTTGATTTAGATATTTAATTTTAAGTTGTTAAAATTGTGAATTTATAAAGTTAAAAGTTTACTTTTAATTATTATCAAATAAAACTTTATTAGCTTTATAAAATTTATATCTATTTTTGTCAAACTTTAGTCATCTAATGATTAAAGAGTTGAGAATGCTAGTTGCTATAACAACTTAATTATTATTTTTATATAATTATTTTAAATTTATTAATGAGTTTTTAAAAATTTATCTGATTTTATTGTTGATATCAAATAAAATATGTGGTATTTTTATATATATTATTTTCAATATTTTTATGATATTATCTATGATCACTATTATAAACGAAAATAAGTAAAATATAGTTGGTTTTGGTAATATATATTTATGAAAATAATATATTTATCTAAGTTAGTAGGTAATTGATAGGTTAATATATTTTTGACTATAACTACTTTGAGATTAAAAACATTTATTGTAGGTATTCATTTGTTTTATGATTTTAAAGAATACATAATTTTAATTTTAGTGAGAACTTTAGATTCACATGTGTATTTTTCAATTTGAATTTAGGAAAATATAGATTGTTGAAATAGTAATTGTCTTGTTAGATCATTTTAGTTAAAAAATAAGATTTTATTTTATTTTGTCTTTTTCAAAGTTCGAACCCGTGACTTCTAAAAGAGAAAATATTGTATTTGTCTGTTTAAGAAGTGAAAGTAAGATTATAGAGGTGTTATATAGAACTATGGGATGATGTGACACAAAAGGAATATAATTTTGTTAACACGTGTTGTGATATAATCCAATGCTTCAGATTTAATAGATTATATAGATATAGATAGGTTATATTTTTGGTTCGTTAATATTTTGTTAGTTATAAATATGAGTCTTGGCAATTTCTTTTCTCTCTCTTGTGGTGTGAGACCCACCTCTGAAAATTCTAAAATACTCTTGGGTTTATTCGGAGATACATCTCCGAACGCATCAAATTTTATT